CATTCATTCATCTTTCACCGGGCTCCCCATTCATTAGCTGCAGCAGAGAAAGCAAGAGAAAACCCTGCTAGATCCACATCTGGATCTGGCAGAGCTGCCACATTTGGGAGAAGAAAGGCATGTACAGCAAGGGCTGGAAGGGGTGGGCACTTCTGGGGGGAACAGCAGAGCTGATCATAGCATCCCCTGATGTCAGGGAACCCACCCCAGAACTAAGAGGCACCAGGAGAGCTAAGGAGATGTCTCTGGCCCAGCGCAATATCTGGTGCTCAAAGGCAGAAGAGTTTGCTCTCAGCAGGCCCCCCAAGCAGGATGGGCTGAGACCCAGCAAGGTCCAAGCTGGGCAGGCATTGGAGTAGAGTGAGCACAGAGGAAAAGGGAAGCCTCTACAACATGGCCTTGTGGCACTGTGACTAGGGATGGAGCTGCCCAGGGTCACAGAGTCAGCAGGCCACAGATGTCCACTCCAAGCAGAACACAGATCCTTCTTGTCCAGCTCCTCTCCACTGTTCTGGGCTGTGTCCTCCAGCTGCAGGAAGCAGCTGCTGTGGGAACATTCCTGGCATAGCCAAGGACCCAAGGTTGTGGCAGCCATATGCAGAAAGTGTCAGGAGAGAGCCACTCCTGCAGGGGCGAGGGCCCCGGGCAACAGCAGGAGGGCCTGCTGGGTGCAAAGGCGGAGGCACAACGAGCCAGCACAGAGCCTTCAGGACACTCATCCTCTTGGATGCCGCACCCTCTGAGCATGCAGCGCTCAACCCATGCAGCCCAGCCTCCCTGCGGTGGCCCTGGATGTCAGTGGATGGATGCTCCCTTCATGTACGTTCCCGCAGCCCTGTGCAAGCCCTTCTTAATGGTGCAGCTGGAGTAGCTCTTTGTGGGGCAACGTGTTTGTGGAGGCAGCTCCTTCCCTGGGCCCTGCTCCACCCACATTGCTGCCTCTGCCGAGCACATCCTGGGCAGACCTGTGCCTGTAGCGGTGGCTGTGCCCCCTGGAGCTCGCACCAGACCTGGCCCTGGGAAGGGGACTCTGCAGAATCTGGGCCAGCACACAGCAGGTGCTCAGTGAGTGCTGGGAGCCTGGCTTCCGAGAAGCACCCCAGATGGTGGGGTGGCCAAGGGCAGTGGGGATCGGGTTCTCCCTCTGCCTTCCACTCTTACAGAACCCAAGGCTCCAGCCCATGGGCTCAGGGCAAGAGCTAGACCCAGGGAGGGAGCATGGGGGCAGGGAATTAGCACCCTGGCCTCCCAGTGATGCCACTGCGTCCTTCTTCAAAGCATCACCAATGCAGGGGCACTGGGGCCTATGCTCCAGCACCGCTGGTTCTGCAGTGAAGGCCTGGCCTGCACAGTGGAGGGTAGGTGGGAAGAAGGCCACACACCCCAGGACAGCCTGCCTGGCCCTCATGAGCTACCCCATGGCCACCACACGTCAAGGACCCCGCTTAGGCCATTTGCCCAGCCTTTGCTCAGACATGACCAGAGAGTTTGTCTGGGATACATGTGGCCCTGCATGTGCATAAGAGCACAGAGCACAGTGTGCACATGTGTGTGTGTGTGTGTGTGTGTGCGTGTGCACACACCCATGTATATATGCAGATAGGGTGAGGAAGAGGCAGGGTGACAGGTCATGTTGGGTCACAGGGACTGTAGCTTCTTCGCCTCGCTGTCTCTGGACACGCTGTCACATGGTGGTACCGTCATACTCTTTTGAAGGCAAGATCCTTTCTGTGACTCCTGCTGAAGCCCAGCAGGACCTCTCCTCCTCAAGCTCAGGCCCATTCCCTGACAGCTGGGCCTGGAGTTTGGGACCAAAGACTTTGACCAACCGGGTGGGGTCGATGCTCAGCAGTGCCAGGATCCCACAGCCAGGGGCTAACAGAGCAAGAGATTCACCACCCCGGGGGGAGGGGGGGCGTCCTGGGTACTGGTCGCTCAAGGGGAAACGTCAGTGGGTCTTCTAGACCGGCCCTCTGACAGTTTCAACCGGGCCTGGCCTGGCCCCAGAGTCTGCACAGTGAGCTCTCAAGGAGCAGGTGACAACGCTATGGCTCACAGCCCAGACAGACAGGCCCGTGCCCCACACCGCACCCTGCCACCCCCAGATCTACCCTGTATGCCCCGCTGGCCTGGGCTCCTCCCTTTCAGGTGCAGGACTCCTTCCCCAGAACCCCACACAGCCACCCTCATCTGAGCCCCTGCTTGGGAAGGCTCCGCTGCTCCAGCTCTGCGTCCCGCAGGACAGCCCTCTCTTGGGCAGGGAACTCTGGTCTCCAGCTAGCATCTCCACTCCTGGAGGGCCGGGCCCCTCCATTCCTACCGACTCTGGCCAGTGCCCCCTGCTTGGCCCAGGGTCAAGCTGCCCCACCTCCCAGCTATACTCTGAACCTTGCTGCTTTTAAATGCTCCTGACGTGAAGGACCCACGTGCAGTTGACCTATGAAACGACTTGCCCACCCTCAGAGTTGCTTCCAAGGCCAGCATACCAGCCCCTTCCATGTGCTGCCCAGGGTCTGCACCAGAGAGGAGACCACCAAGCTGCTGCAACCCGAGGTGAGCACTCCCACCTGCCCCTTGAGGGTGGCAGCTCCACAGCTCTCATGTCCTGATCTACAGCTACCTGGGAACCAACCCCAGAGCAGTGGGGAGTGCTCAGGTTCCGACTGGCTCGGGGTGTGCCAGAGGGACACCAGGGGTACCTCGGGACACCCACACAGCAAGGCCAGGGGCTGTGACTCGGCTCTGGCTTCAAGGCAGCGAACATCACAACAAGCCACAGCTCAGAGGCCAGTAGGTCTTGACAGCTGGGGTCTGCCTCTGCCAGCAGGAAACAGAAGAAATGAAACATTTCAAACTGGTCCAAGCTGACAGAACCTTAGTGCTGCTAGAAACACCATAGTTGGGACTGGCATCTGGGACCCGCAGTGTCACCAGTGCACACAACTTGCAGCCCCTCCTGGGCCCTCAGCAGCAGTAGCAAGATCCCTCCACACCCATCCTGGGCAGTCAGCACACACTGACCTGAGGGCCAGTTTGTTTCACAGCGCCCCAGACAGGGAGCCTTTGAAGGCCTTGCGACTTCTTACCTCAGAATGAGCCTCCAATGACCCTCTGCGACGGCCAGGTTCAGCTGGCCTTTGCCCCACATGGCCCCCATGGCCAGAGGAGGCCTCACACAGAAGTTTCTCTATTATAAAGATTTTGGGCAAAGAAAACAGCACCTGAGAGCAGAGGCCCTCTGAGCCCTGAGCCTGCAAGGCAACCATGAGCAGGACGCACTCAGCCTGGAGGCCCCATCCTGCCTCACACTGCCTGGCTGAGGGGCCAGAAGCCAGGCACCCCACATGTGGGGAGATTCTGCAGTCCCAGGTGGGTGTGGCTTGGGCAGACACCCAAGCCCCAGGGCATTCCTCCTGCCCAGAGTAGGGGTGTCTGCCCTGCCTGCACCCTACCAAGAGGATGGGAGGATAAAAACAGCCTCCAGCACCCCCCAGGGGAACCCAAGGCCCACTGTGCCTCCCCAGCACATGATGTCCCAGCTGGGAGCTGAGACCAGCTGTACACAACTTTGTGGTGGCCTCAGGAAGGAGAGACCCAGCAGCCTGGAGATGTCCTGGCTGTGAGGTGCTGCGCTGGGTCCTTCCCGTCGCTTCACTGCCTTGTGGCCACGGTAATGAGGCCAAGGCCTCACTGTGAAGCTGGGCAACGGAGAGCCACTTCAAGACCCAGCCCCAGCCCCTTTCGTGGGCCCCAACTCTCGGGTCACAGCAGAAGGAGGCCTGGGAATGGCTGGGTAGACACAGAAGGCTCCAAACGGATGATGCTCACATTGTTCTTTAGGGAGAGATGCTTGGGCCCTTTGTCCTGTAACTTGGTAACAAGAAAACTCTCGCTCCTCAGGACACACACACACACACACACACACACACGCGCGCGCGCCCGCGCGCGCCCGTGCACTTTCCCTGGCCCTCCACTGACAGACAGCAAGCAGAGTGGTGGGCGGTAGGAGGCCTCTTCCTCCCTGAGGCGGGGAGGGATGAGTGGATAGCTCCTACTGCCAGGCAGGCAAGGACAAAAAGCCTTTGAGAGGCTCCCCCTGCCTTTCAGCTCGCTGCTCCAAGCAAAGGGACACAGATCGGCCCAAGCCCTGGCTTGCCTGGCTAACAGGGAGTCTGGGAGCAGCCCCCATCTAGGGAAGACCTATGCCCTTGAAGCCAAGATGATCCTTCCCTCTTGGGGAACCAGATTTCCAAGGGCCTGTCCAGAATGCCTGTCCATCCTGGTCCACAGCAGACAAAGCTGGCTTGGGACCTGACCCTCCACACCCCAGAGCCACATCCTTCCAGGCTCCTCTTCTGGTTGAACACCTGTTTCTCCAGCTTGTACCTCAGCCTACATCTCAACCCCCTAGAGTATCTTCACACCAAATGTAGCACCGGGAAGCCCATTCCTAAACCCCCCAAAAGGCGCTGCACTTCCTCTACCCAGACTGGCCACAGACCCTGAACCTCAAGCTAGCTGAACTCACCCCTGCCCTCTGCCGGCACCTGAGCCCCTCCTGAAAGGCAGTTTCAGGACTGCTTCAACGCCCCAGGGTCCCTCGTTCAGAGAGGGGTGACTCACCACCTGTGTGGCTCCAAACAGCACAGCCGGGGTTGCCCAAATTTTCCCTTTAAAACTTCTTAGGGGGGCCAGGGAGATAGCTCAGTGGAATAAGTGCTTGCACAAGGTTCTGAGTTTGATCCCTGGTACCACCAAAAAAAAAAAAACAAAAACAAAAACAAAAAAACCCCAAAAACTTCTTGGGAACAACTGCTTCCTTTTCTGGACCTTGAGGTTCCAAAGGATAAGCCAGTACCCTGGCCGGTGGGGCCCACAACCCACACCCAGTCTTGGAGACAACAAAGTGGCATTCCCTTTTTAAGACCGGAGATCCAGCGCCCATTAGCATCCAGCAGAGGCCCCTCCAGCCCTGGCTGCTACAACCTTTGTTCAGCCCCCTCCTCCCAGGGCAGCTGCATTCCAGGCTTTCGGTCCCTGGGGATCCAGAGTCAAAGGCCAGGGAAAGTTAGCCAAGGGACACCAAGTTCTCTGACAAAGCTTTGACCCAGGGGGCCTGCTCATCGCCAGGCACAAAAGTGTGGGCCCAGGGGCTGGGGAGATGGCTCAGTGGAATAAGAGCTTCCCTGGCAAGCACAAGGGCCTGAGTTCAATCCCCCGCTCCACAAAAAAA